TTATAGATCAAAAATATACTGTACTGTGAGAGAGAGAGATTTGTAATAAATGGATTTATTACAATATCTTGACTTAATCTGGTTTTTTTTTTGTGATCGACTATAAAAAGCATTACTCTTATTACTAAAGATCAAATTAACAACAAAATATTTTCACTACTCTATTACTCTACGTGTTAGCCTTACATTAATTCGCCGGTTAAGCATTAATTGGGAATAATTAATTTGTTTGGTGCGTATATATTAATATCAATAGAATCATGCGACAAATACAGAAAAATTATCAAAAAATTTTGACAGCTAACACATGGTAGGAGTTGATTGACAGATGGAAAGAGAATAAAGAAATCAATCCAATTATCTGCGATCACGTCAGAGTAAGTAAAAATTCTGTCAAGAATTCTCTGTACTCGTAGCTTTTTCCATATCAATATAATGAAAAAATATATAATTCTACTAAAGAGAGCTTCCACAACATAAATATTAGCAATTAATTAATGAAAATATCTTCTTAAGCTCTATCTTTCAAGAATTTAAAGATATTTTGTGTAAATGAAGTTGGAGATATATTATCCTCAAACATTTCCATCTCAAAGTAGTAAAATTTTCACACATCTTTGAGACGACATTTTCATTCAAAGCGTAGTCATAATGTGATAATTATATTTCATTAATTGATAGTACAATGAATTTGCAAACATCATTTTCGACAAATTTTGTTCATAAATAACTCCAACGTGATTAAAATATTTGTTAGCATAATTATAGAAATTAAAATGTTACATGCATACGAAACATGCTTAAAATAGATCAAAACATGTTGATGTGGGTGTTACATTATCCTCAAACATTTCAATCTCAAAGAAAAGTTTTTAATTTTTTAAATTTTCACAAGTATTTGACAAGACATTACAGATTTGGAATGACGTTTTAATATATTGCTCTTTACAAGAAGTAACCTGTTACATGAATTTTATAAATAATACAATGCATGATGACGTTTTCATTATATTTCTCTTTGAAGAAGTCAACGGTCTCATGAATTTTTTAAATATTAAAAATATATGGATTACGTCTTCACTTGTTTTAAAAGAGAGGTCAACGATTACTTAATTTTTTTAAATAATCAAAATATCTTAATGCCCTCTCACTAAAAAACTGTTTGTCTCGGAAGATATTATAGAGTTTTGAATAATATTGTTTTGAGAATGTGTGACTAAAATTTAAAGAAATTTTATTAGTTTACGTGTAGAGTATTTTATAGTGTGAATATGTGGTAAAAAAATATTATTGTAGCAAATAATTTAATTTGTTAAAGGATGACAAATATGAGTTAAATTGCTTTAGACAATATGTCAACGATTAAGTAAATTTTCCAAGTAACTATGATCAGATTCTTTCATGTTTCATATAAAGTTGTCAATTTGGTAGTGAAATAGTTTTATTAGTGTTTCTACTATGAGTTTTTTAATCAATAAGAATGTTAATTACATTTAAAGAAAAAGTTCGTTCTGTCTGTCATTTAGAGAAATTTCTTCATTAGTTTCCTCTCTTATTTTTTATAAAGATATAAAAACACATTAAAAATATTATGACAATTTTTTTTTCTTTTTGAGTTCCAATCTCAGTTTTATTTTTACATTTTATTTGAACTAATTCTTCATATATCAAACATAAAAATTATTTTCTCCCCACAAGATAGAAATTGGTGGTATTACTTAAAATGTAAAATTCGCATACATCATTGGTTGACATTCCATCTTCTGAAACCAACACTTTTGATGATATTTAGTGTACAATAATTTATATATGTCTATTATGAATCTGCACCCTCGGGCTGGATAAACCTTTTGGATCTTATTGACCAAAATGATACGACTTTGCACTATAGTTAGCTCAGCACCAATCAAGAAGTCCCACGGCATTACAAGAATTCTTATTATACGTTCGTTCCAACCCTCAACTCTTTTTTCTAGATTCATCAATATTGAATCAATTGAACGCACTTCTAACACCTGTTCCACTTTTGGAAGCCCCAAGGTTGAAATTGATCTTGTGAGGAAAAAAAATCGAAGAATATATAGACTAATCATTTTCATGATTTTAATGCTTAAAACTACATGCAGCATATTTAATAGAAAGAATTATACATTACTAGACCGTACTTAAAAAGAAAGTTAGACAAAATGTGTTTATTGTACAAAAAAGAGGAACTAGAAGAATTCTGACATATCAACAGATCTTTTGCTCATGTTGAAGGTAAAAGTAAAACTAATGGTTGAGATGAATTGTTCCCACTAATAATTATAAGATAACAAGACAATTTATGGTGAAAAGCTTATATAGCTATTCAAGATTTTGTTCAGATTACAGATTATATAGCTGAGGAAGGGGAGGGTCCTCTACAGTCGTTAAATATTCGACATTTGTTGAGCATTGCATGCATGCTACACACACAACAGAATTGGCCACCTTACTGATACATTTCTTCGCGTGAAAACTGTAAGGAAGGAATTTCCTCCACCTCATACGATCCATAATTGCAGCAGAATCACTTAATCTCAGAATTTATATTTCTTATTTAGTGATGATTATTAGTTTAGAAAGAATCAGTATTCATGCCTTTGTTTCTTTTCTTGCCTTTCTAATTGCTTTTTGAATTGTATATTAAGAGTTATAGGTATGATGCGTACTGATTGAAAATGGAAACTGTACACAAAGTAGTCTTAATCCTTTACTGTATCAAAGCTGTAAAACGCTCCAACAAGTTTTCCAGACCCCATTTATAAGTGTATTTTACATGCTTATGTGTGTTTATAAACTTCACTTATATTTGCGCAATAAAATGTATTATACTTTAGTGTAAATATTGTTATTGTATATAAAACCCAGATTTAGAGACATTTTGGAACAAAAATGCAATTTTTTTAAATGGGAGTTGGTTTGGAGAAATTGAAAACTAATGGGATTGTATGAGAGTGATAAGAAGTATTAAGAGAGCTATGGGAGTAAAATTCAACTCATTGGAACTTTGGGGACTACTATGCACACTTTCGAAACTTGTGGAGGACTAATTTTGAAGAATTATGGGGTCTAGGGACCAATAGGAGCTTTTAGAAGTGTTGAATCAATATTGAAGATTTGATCAAGAAAAGAATGAAAATGGGATAAAAAGTTAAAACAGGGATCAAAATGCAACATTTCTAAAGATAAGGGGCTGGACCATGAGAAAATACCCCAGACCAGACACGATTCGGGCGTGGTGCTTGTTTCCCATGGTATGACCGTGTTAAGCAGACCGCGGCTCACTGATTGAGGGATTTTGGTAACAGTTTGGATCGCGGTGGGCAAATAGCGGCCCCACTGTAGCCTGATCCGAGGAAAACTTCTTTTTTATAATTACGGAGTTAACTTCAATTCTTTTTTTTCTTTTTTTTTTCTTTTTTTTTCTTTTTTTTAAGATGTGGCTTTCGAGATGATTCTAACATTATATAAAGACCTAGCCTAGGTCAAAAAGGACGTTTGGGAATATAGAGGAGAAAA